TTCGGCTAGAATAAAAAGCGGTTTAATTTTATAAACCATTTTAAGGTCAAAATTATTAGCCCCTTAAGTCTTCAGAACAAACCATTGTTATAAAATAACTTGCCTAATTACCTTAACTTGACTAGTTAACTTGATTAACCTAGTTAAGCCTTTAAATGTCACTTTAAGCTGTATAGAAGTGTCTTAATAATATCTAGTCAAATATTATTTACTGTCATCATGACAAAGATCAAATAAATCAGTTATTAGAAATAAGTTACTAAAACTAATATGTATAGAAATGTGTGGAAAAAAAATCTTCTCTCCGTTAAACAGAAATTGGGGAAAAAATAAACGGGGGCTAATAATTTAGGGGGGCTAATAATTCTGACTTCAACTGTATATATATATATATATATATATATATATATATATATATATATATATATATATATATATATATATATATATATATATGCGTGTCTGTGTGATGTATGTAAAATTTGGCCCGCGACAACGTTTGTTTTTTTGCATCTGGCCCTCGGCCCAAAAAGTTTGGACACCCCTGCCCTATATGAATGAGATGTGACTGTACATAAAAGATAAATGTCTGTCTCACCGTCTGAGATTATGTATATTAGCTTAATATATTGTCCTCTGGACACTGTGTGTGTGCATTTGTGTGTGTGTGTGTGTGTGTGTGTGTGTGTGTGTGTGTGTGTGTGTGTGTGTGTGTGTGTGTATGTGTATGTGTATATATATATATATATATATATATATATATGCAATTTTAGGCAACAGACTGTATAAAGACTGTTGCCCAAAAAAACAAACAAAAAAAACACAATAATTATTTTATTTATGAGTGGGGTTTCTGGATTGTACCACGTCACAAGCATGACCTGACTGCTCTAGATTCAAATGACATAAAGGGAAATAAGTGACAGCAACTTTTCTATATTGTTTTAATGTATAATTTTTACATATTTTTTAGAAAAGTCATCTCTTTCTAGTCTCAGAACTATCAGTCTCTATGTGAATCCTCTCTATATAGTAGGTTATTAATGTACACACTAGACTTGATAAGTGGATGGGAAAAAAAAGACAATTATTTTCCCGCTCCACCAGATGCACTGCTGTGAACAGTCCTCTGACTGCTGCCTTATATTGTCTTACAGCCCAGCATTGAAAAAAATAAAAAATTAAATCTGCCTGTCTGACACACGAGCGCCAAACTGCTCTTTATTCACTCCTCCTGGTATCTTTCACATTCCCACAGGGTTTATGATCCCGGTTCTTTTTCTACATATTTATTAGTATATTTTGAAATGCACCTTTACATTATGATTTCAAAGCAAAATCTCATTGTAGCCATCTCTGTAGATGTAGGGTGGGGGAATAAAGGGCCCCACGTGGCCACAATGTAATTGAAAAACTCTTTCCCTGAAATCATTTCCCTCTAGCCCATGAATTATTGAAATGAATAAAGAAATAGCTCCATACCAGCCTGATATGTCTGATCTCTGATACTGGGAGAGGAAAAATCAATTTCAAGCAGATTGGTCCTATAGCCTGGTCCATTGCCAGAGACAGAATATAGAAAATGAACTGAAAGGACTCCGATTTTATGCCTTCATATTTCCCTATCCGCTGGCTACCCAACCAGACAGGTAATTTAGATCAATGAAAATCAGCTCATAGGTGCAACCATCCATGACCGTAGAGACAAATCAGAGAATACACCATCATATTTCAGCTAATAAAGACATGGGATGCACAGAAATTCACTTAAGATGGACTGACCCCAAACAAGTAATAATAATAACATGATGAAAAATACAGAATGTATGCAGTGTGTTACACTCTAAAAAAATATCTTTGTTGTTTGTTCAAACTACTTATTTAAAATTAGCTGAAACTATACAAGTCTTGACAATATATTTTAATAAAATAATATATTTAAAATGAGTTCTTTCTTTCTTTTTTATCCCAGGCTTATTGCAGATACGTACCCAGGTTTACATTTCTGGAGACAGCTAAAAATGTAACCAGAGGTATGTCTGCTCGCAGTTTTTGTTTTTATATATCCACCAGAGGGCGCAGTGTGCTTTTTGATCATAGCAAATTTCTCTCGCACGTCCTCTTCTCTCATAAATCCACCAGATGGCGCAATACACACTTCAGCCGACCAGGCCAACTTAGCTGTCGACTGACTGATGAACCGACTGACCCACTGACACACCCAACCTTCCCCTTCTCTAAACCCAACCGATAGTGTTTTCAAAAGCAATCTAAAGAAAGAAAAGCTGTTGCAGCCACATGATTTCACTACCTTTTCAGCCTGTTGTTTATTTATTTATTTGTTTATTTATTTTTCTTATGTTTTACCTGGTTTCTGGAATCGTTCTTTGCTGGACTCGAACCCTGTGATCACGGTCACCTCCACTCCACCTCCCACGTCTACCAATGTATATGACTATTTACTGGGCAAACTGGTAACATCGAATAAGCTCTACACACAAAGATAAGGGGTCAGCTGGTACGGAGCTGGTAAAGAAACAGGAGCCATACAATGAGCCATACCCGTAGAATTCACTTTAAAGACAAAAGGCAGCCAAACATTCCTCAGGCTGCATAATTTGCACTCTGCAGAAATGCAGACAGGTACGTATCCACAAAGAGCCTGTGCTGGTTTTTTTATTTATTTATTTATTTTTTTAGTGTATATGTTTCTGAAGCAAATATTAGTCTACATTCTTTTCCAACAAATGTTTGCTGTTAATTGTAATAATCCAATGGAATTTATGTTTGCATAAGGAAGATTTAAATGCAACAAGAACAGCAACAACTACATATTTTAGTTATTTTATTTTTTTGGGTGTGTAATGTTTTGTCTGCATTATTTCCGAATATGTTTGCTGTTAATTGTGATAATCCAGTGATATTTATAATTGTGCAGGGAGGTTTTAAGTAAGTTATTTCTTTAGTTTTGAAGTAGTGTACAGTACTTTAAAATGTGTTCCAGTATCAGTGTACATTTCTAAACATGTTTTTTGCTCCTATATTTGCACAAGGAGGTTTTAGGTGAGTTATTTTTATATTTTTGGTGTAGTATATAGTGTCTCATTATCAGTCTACATTTAAAACCACAATTTTTGCTATTAATTGCAATAATCCAGTGAGATTTATGTTTGCACAAGGTTTTAGGTCAGTTATTTCTATATTTTTGGTGTTGTGTTTAATGCTTTATAGTGTGTCAGTAATCGTCTACATTTCTAAACATGATATTTGCTTTTAATTGTAATAATCCAGTAAGATTTATATTTGCACAAGGAGTCTGACAGCAGCCAGTGCTTCACAAAGCATCTGATCTCACCAGGTAGCTTGCAGGCGGGCTTCTTCTAGTGTCTTAAAGATGTTGTCACAGTCCTTCTGGGTTTATTCTGCCTGAGATTGCTCTATTTTTCATAGACTCTATGATGATGAAATCAGATCTCTATGTGGAGCTCTGCATGTGCAAACGGAAATCTTACATAGATTATTAAATTGTAAAAAGCAATTTGTTACTTATAAAAGCACTGTTAAAAATTCTGGGTTCTGCACAAGTCCTTCATGCTGTCTTTATTGTTTTTTTTTTTTTTTTTTTTACAAATTGAATTGAATTGAACATAAAACAACTTAAAAACAACAAGTTAACTTAACTTTAAACAAGTAAGTAAACCCATTATAACTTGGAATTGTTAAGTTGACTGGTCTTTATTTTTATAATTATGCACATTAGCAACATATTTACTCACTTTTTAAGTAAAGTCAACTAATCGCTTTAAAAGCATCACGTTTACTCACTGTAAGTAAAGTCAACTAATCACTTTTTAAGTTTAAATAACAGAAAAAAAAGTCAAGTCACTTTTATTTCTTTAGCACTTCATATAATGTAAGCTGTCAAATCCACTTTACAGAGACGGTAAGGGGAAAATAAAATAAATAAACAAATAAATAAAAGTCTTACCATGTTTCTTTATATATTATGGGGCATGCTTAGCATGCCAGGTAGATATAATGCTGGTTTAGTTGAAGTTGGATTAAAATGAACCTAGTCAGATTCTGTGCAATGTAATATACATGAGCAGCTCCACCAACCCTAGCTTACTGTAGCAAGTTAGAGGCGAAAGTGGCAAAACAATAACAAAACTCCACCAATTTATGGAGGTGGAGAATAAATTTTAGGAGAAACCAGAATGGACAATGGGTAAAGAGGCTGAGCTGTAGTTTAAAAATGCTGGTGGCTTTGAGTTAAAAATAAATAAATAAATAAATAAATAAATAAATAAATAAATAAATAAATAAATAAATAAATAAATAAATAAATTCAATGTTTGGAAATGTAGACTGATGTTTACATTTTTCTTTCAACTTTTGGAAAAAAATTTGACAATAAAAAATACAACTATGTCACTGTTTACTCACCCTATTCTAGTTCCAAACGTTTACTTCTCATGTTCGTTCCAAATATTTCATAAGTTATGTTTAACAGAGTAGTTAGTTATTTCACTGTATTTCTTTAAATGTTTGTTCTTCTGCACTGTAAGCCCGGACAGGTTGATTGAACTTAAAAAATTTATGGAAACTCGCTGCCCTAAAAAAGTTAATTTCGTCTTGTTGAAAAAACAACACTTTTTAAGTTTATTGTACTTAAGATTTCAAATGCATTTTACTAAATATTTAGTTGACTGAAATAAAGGTTTTTAGTACAACACTATTGAAATCTTAGGTACAATAAACCTAAAAAGTATTGTTTTTTCAACAAGACGAAATTAGCTTTTTTAAGGCAGCGAGTTTCCATAAAGTTTTTAAGTTCAATCAACCTGAAAAAACTTAAAACATAAAATCTTGACTTGAATGTTATGACAGAAATACTTTTAACCTTAGCTATTCACAATAAATGATTTAATAAAAATACCCCTGGTTACAAACAAGAACAAAGAATAAAAATTGACTTTACACTTTATTTAAAATCATTTAGAAATATTACTCTGAAACAAGTGACAAAACAAGAAAATGCCTTGTATAACAATTAGTCAATATTTATTTTTATAAATTTCATTAAAACACCCGTTTAAAATATTTTAATAAATTTTTACAAACATATCCAAATAATAAACAACCACAGGATATTATTACATTGTAACATTATGGAATATTTACACTTGCCAAACACTAAAGCATAGTTTTAATTTATTTTATCTCACAGTTAGGACAGCAAGCCTGAAGGAGCATGCTTTTTCTGTACCAGTTTACATGACAAGTTGATTTTTAACAGCCAGAATCTTACCCTACAGCGTCTTCTTACCCAAACTTGTTGAATAAAAAGAATGGTATTGTCCATGCATTTTGTGTAGCCTAGGTGCAGTGCATAGGTTGATCCAAAAAGACACTTGGCCTGGGGTATATTGTCTATATTGTCCATTACAACATTTCCCTCCAAGATGATTCCCACAGCGGATGGGTGGAGGTGGAAGGACAGGGGTTGCAGTGCCACATCTTCATTTTCTCAGTTAAGAATTCCAACGGGCACATGTTGATTTGAGTCTCCATCATCTGAAGCCTGCCAACAATAAATAGATAACATAAATATATCTTAGAGGTGTACATTTGATTTTAATATATATTAATTGTATGTAATGTTTTTAGTTGTATGCAAGCATAATTTGTTAATTGTATACCCAAACATATCCAGTATTTAATTATATATAAAATATAAAAATACTACAAAATATTTTTGTATACAAGTCATTGCATACGGCATAAAAATATTTGATTTACTAAAGATTTTATGTTATTCTACTTATCACTTTAGAGTTTCAAAGGAGTTATAACATGAATTTAAATTTCATGTTGATCATTATTCTATTTATTAATGAACTACAATAAGACATTGCTTGGGTGATTTACTTATTGTTATTGCTAACATAAATGCACATTAAGAAACATAATGCAAAAAAAACTTAGATTAATATACAAAAACATTTATTAATGATACTTACAAAACATGCTTTGAAGAACTGTTGGGTCATCACCAACAACTACTGGAAGCACTCAAACGGCAACACATGGCATGTCAGTGAGGTCAGACGCCTGAGGTGTTGCAGAGAAACAACATTGTATCATTTGTCAACATGAGAGAAAGGGCATTTTCATGTATTAAAATTTAGTCTCTGTTACTGAGGATTTCTAAAGTAATTATATAAATTTCAGAATTCAGCACACAATGGCATCAATTTATATCAAAGGCATGTACAAACAATGGCATACACAAACCTTGATATTTTGTAGAAGATAAAAATCTGTCCAGTGAATCCTCACTTAGACCTGAAGATCTGAATCAGCTGTGGGCAGTGATGATCAAGAGACCAATATAATTCTTGCTTAAAATTCTTCCACACTATTTGGTTGAATTATTGATACACCTGTAGTAGTAAAACACAAAAAAGTTCATTAACATCAGAGAAATGTCAAAATTAAACAACTGTCAAATTAGCATGTTATCATGTTTATCAATACTGTACTCATTTCATTACAAATACATTCCTGATATATGCATGGAATTGGCTGGCTTTTTGCATAGCTCCCATGTTTAAATCTGCAATGTTTTAATAAGTAGTATCTTTTGTCACAAGCAAATGAGCAATACTTACATTTTCATCTCATCCTGTTTGGCCTTGCTCTGATCTTTCTGCAATCTACAGTTACAAAAATATACATTAGATTAATAGCTGACAAAACACATTTACATATTTTGATCTGTTATCTCCAAATTTCCCACAAACAAATATTGTTAATCAAAAGAATTAGAGAGCTACAGTTAATTATTTATGTAGCTTTCATTCTAATTAACTGAAAATTCACTTGCTAAGACTGATGAGCACGAGGTTGAAAAACTGCCAACTAACATGAATTCGTATTTCCAAAGAAAGGGGCAAATCTCAATGTATTCTAGTCTGTTACTACTTTACTTGCAAAAAACGTTAAAAACAGCTCAGGTTAATGTTATGCTAAACATCTGACGATACATAACCACCACTGAAAAAATAATCATTTTACACAACAGATAACGCGGATGAATCATCGAATACAGCATCAATATTAAACTTTATACGTGACGACCTCATAAAGCATGTTTTCACGTACAGTAACTGTGACGTTAGTTATATAAGTTAGATGAAATGCGGCAGCTGTGATCGGTTATAACGTGGCATAAATGAACACGCTAACACAAGCAAAACTTACATTAATTTATTACATAATATATGGTCGATATCATAATCCTATTACGCACGTCTTTGCACTTTTCACGTCTTAGAGCTGTTAATAAACGTGGCAATGGCGGTTGCGATTGACCGGAACAATAACATGATCCTAACGTCAGACACAGCTTAATCTTACATGTGGTTTTCTTGCTAACGGTTACATACTTTGTTTATTAAAGGAAAACAATGTGGACTGTTTGAGACAAAAGTATGAAATCGTACTCACAGTGATCAGCAGCCATTAGAAAATGCGCGCTCACGCTGTATTCACCAGTGACGTCAGTCCAAAGACAAACAGCCAATCACATTTCCTCTTGCACATCACTCCTTTACCAATAGACTAAAATAAGCTTTGTTAAGTACATTCAATTTAAACATTCCAGTAGAATCAAAAATATCATGCAAATCGTACAATAAACTTAACAAATTGAGTAACTGAGCAAAAAAGTTGGTATTTATGTTTATTGAATCTAAGTATTTTGAATTAATACAACTTTAGGGATAACAGTGTGGAAACAGTCTTATGTCCCAAACTATGTCTAACAGAGCAAGGAAATTGTATGATGTATGTCTGATAGTAGTTTTTTTTTTTTCTTTTGGAGAAAGTTTTTGTTTTATTTCGAATACAATAAAAGCAGTTTTTATTTTATAAAAAACATTTTAAGGTTAACATTATTAGCCCCTTTAAGCTATTTTTTTTTTTGATAGTCTACAGAACAAACCATCATTATACAATAACTTGCCTATTTACCCTAACCTGCCTAGTTAACCTAATTAACCTTGTTAAGCCTTTAAATTTCACTTAAAACTAGTATCTTGAAAAATGTATTGTAAGATACGATGTACTGTCATCATTGCAAAGATAAAAATAAATGTGTTATTAAAATTATTAGGTTTAAAAATGTGTTGAAAGAATTTTTCACTCCATTAAACAGAAATTGGGGGAAAGTATACAGGGGGCTAATAATTCTGACTTCAACTGTATATAAACACTGGAAAACAGTAAGCATCGACTTCCATGGTATTCGTTTTGTGGCTGACAATGGTTACAGATTTTCTAATGCAAAAAAAAAAAAAAAGTGCAAAACAGCTTATTTTGTGTTAGAGAGAGAGTCATAAGTTCATACCTGCTTGAGGGAGAGTATAGTGAGTACATTTTAATCTTTTGGGGGAAACTACTCCATAATTTTTATTTTTATTTTTTTTATTTGGTGTTTTTTTTTTCAGTATTGAGCATTGCTGTAATCAGAACTCTGTAAACTTTCGTGGCTAAATTCTCCCTCCGCTCATTAAAAAAAAAAAATAAATAAATAAATAAATAAATAAAACAAAAACGCCAGCATCTCTCATCTCTTGAGCCTTTAATACAAGCAAGTGTAGAGCGGAGGCAGATAAAAACTAGAGAGTGAGTGATAGTACAGAGGGAAAAACTAGTGATTTGCTGTCAGGTGCTCAACTATCCGGTGGAGAAGAACTCGGAGAGTGTTTTTTTTTTTTTGCTCTCCCTGTGTGTCAATTACGGTGAGCTGCTCTGCACCTGCCGGTGGAGGCCTCCGTCATGGCTCTCTCCAGCTCCGCCGTCTACTCTCAACCACCAGCCGCTCTAATTGGGAACTTTATATATGGATAAAGGGGAAATGGGGACACCTCTTCCTTCCTTACTCGGCAATTAGACAGCGCTCGGACTGCTGAGATCAAGATCCCGGAGATGTCTCTCTTTCTTACTTTTATTCTTTCCTCCAGGCTCACTGCGGATGGAGTTTCTGGAGAAGAAGCGGGTCTTGTGGATCTTGTGACATTTAGTGTAGAGCTCTTTTGGGAAGGTCAGGAAGAATGCCATGGATAAAGTGGAAAAAAGATGAGAAGTGTTGCATACACTGCAAAAAATAGGCTATAACGGGTATAATAATAATAAAAAGGACATTTTTGTATATTGCTTTATTGCGTAATATACAGTTGAAGATGAAATCAATATCCTTTCGGTGAAATCAGTTTAATGAAGAGATTTAATGTCGGTTTCCCCCACAGTCTAAAGACATGCGGTATAGGTGAATTAAACAAACTAAATTGGCCATAGTGTATGTTCGTGAATGAGTGTGTATGGATGTTTTCTAGTACTGGGTTGCAGCATGGAAGGGCATTCACTGTGTAAAACATATGCTGGATAAGTTGGCAGTTCATTCCGCTGTGGCAATCCCTGATGAATAGAAGGACTACGTCGAAACAAAGAAAAAATGAATGAAATGATGACAGTACACATTATTTTAGTAGTTATTTTGCAAGATGATTGTATTCAGATTAAAGTGAAATTGAAAGGCTTGACTAGGATAATTAGATTGACTAGGAAAGTTAGGGTAATTAGATAATTACATTTAGCCATTTAGCAGATGCAATTCGTTGGACAACAGTGGACTGTTAATGGTAATTTAAAATAAACAACTAAACTCTAATAAGCTCCATACAGTAAAACAGTTACGACTTTTGGGTTATTATTAATTCAAAATAAGCATAATACAAGGTTAATTAATGCACTACATATAGTAATAAATTTAGTTTAACTAAATGTGGATGGCAGCATGGTGGCTCAGTGGTTAATACTCTTGCCTCACAGCAAGAAGGTCGTTGGTTTGACTCCGAGTTGACATTTCTGTGAGGAGTTTTTATGTTCTCCCCATGTTCATGCGGGTTTCCTCCAGGTTTGCTGGTTTCCCCATCAGTCCAAAGACATGCCGTATAGGTGAATTGAATAAAATTGTTCATAGTGTATTAGTAAATGAGAGTGTATGGGTGTTTTTCTGTACTGGGTTGCAGCTGTAAGGGTATGTACTGCATAAAACATATGCTGGAATAGTTGATGCTTGATCTCTGAACTAGAGACTAAGCTGAAGGAAAATGAATGAATGAATGAATGAATGAATGAATGAATGAATGAATGAATGAATGAATGAATGAATGAATGAATAAACTAAATGTGGAAATATGAGAGTTTCTGAAAAAGAAATGGGTATTGTGGATCTTGTGACATTTACAGCTCTTTTGGGAAGGTCAAGTAGAATGTCATGAATAAGGAGGAAAAATGAGAAAATGCAACTTTTGTGTTTTGTTTTTGTTTGTTTTTTAAGATGGCATAAACAAATTAGACTCACCTTTCTTTAGTTGACACTTTGTTGGCAAATGCCTATAGGTGACGCTTGTCATTTCTAAGGTGTTCAGAAAAATCTGAAAATATGAGTGATAGTAGCTCATTCAGAATGGAGGTTTTTGTAGAATGTTTTTTTGAGCTCTACAAAAAAAAAAAAAAAAAAAAAAGAGTGAACAGCTTTTTTTAGATAGATTTTTGTTAAAGGTGCAGTATGTAAGTTTGACATCCAGTGGTTGAACTAGGTAATTGCATTCCTGGATCAAAACACATGCAAGCCGGGTTGCCAAATTGAGGATCAACAGGGGCGAGCCTGACTATCGAGCCTAAACGCTGATTTAAGGCTGTTTTAAATCATTTTGCAAATAAAGGAATCGAAGGAATATTTTTCTTTATTTTTTTATTAAAAAGAGTTTTTGTCCTAACCAATACCTGGAGTTTATGTTTTAGAAATGGCTTCTATTCCTTGCAGCTGAACAATAGAAAAGTTGATGACATGATCGCCTCCGGTACACCTCATGTGCTTTATTCAGTGTTAAATGCTAATAATGCGAGTTTGAATGCCATTTCACATGACATTTATTGCCATACTACTAAAAGCAGCTGCAGATATATTTATTTCCTTACTACTGAAAGCAGCAGCAGAAATTCACCTCAGATCTTGAAAATAAAATAAACCGTTGGAAACTGAACTGTGGCTATGCAAATCAAACACATATCATTGACTGAGCATTTACATTTACTATGTTAAAAAGGTTTAAAATGTATTAATTACATTATAAACCTCACTATTTCATGAGTGAGTGCATATTCTGTGCTTCTGAATGGCTCTTTCTAAATTTCCGTCGTGTTGTGACTGGTGCAAACAGCCAAATTGCTTATCACTTTAAATCTAGTCACGAAGTGTGTTGTTAGGACACAAGGTTACAATGTAACCTGCTCACCTAATGTTTACATTTGTAATGTTTATATTTTTTGCTAATTAATAACTTTATGTGGAACTCTGAATCTTATTCTTATTCTTATTTTGGATTATGTTACTGTCCACCAGAGGTTGCATTTCGGTCGCGGACACAGACTTTGAGGCCCAATCCTAATTCTTTTTTTGTACCCCTACCCCTTCCCCCTTCCTCTTGGCCATTAAAACCGAGTGTGAAGGAGAAGGGCTTTAAAATGTACCCCTAAGAATTGGGACAGCACTACAGCACCTGTACAGTCATCATACAGTATGTCATTGTTTGATCTCTTGCTTCATAAGAGATCAGACGATCGTGACTGGTGTAGTATTCCAGTTGTGCTATTGATTGGTATTTATTTTCAGGAAATAACAGAAGGCATATATATGTTATCACAACGAGCTAATGTGGCAATAAAATTGTAACTGTACTGTGCATTTAACACAGTGGCCATATTCATCTATGTAAACACACCAAAAACAACATTAGCTTTATAGCAGACACTGTAAAAAGCCCAATCCCAGCCACAGGACAGAATGTTGTGGGACTGCTGTACAGGATTTATGATTATGCATTATAAATTGTAAAATTTAGGAACGGCTTAGGGGTAGAATTGGGATTGGGCCTGCGAGTCTACCAGACTGAATGAATGAAATATGCTGTTTTCCACCAAGGCAACCCGGCGTGCTGAAATATAATTGGCTAAACTGGCTGTGGGCGGGTTAAATGACCAAAAGACAGACGTTCTGGCACATAACTCACATTTTCAAAGCAGAACATCCAGCCTGATCTCACAAGAAAACGTAAGTATTTTACGTTTTGCCAGTTTAGTGGCGAATTCGTACGAGTTCAGTTAAACAAAATTGTACGATTTTAAAAAGGAGGCGTGGCACCTAACCCCACCCCTAAATCCAACCGTCATCGGGGGATGAGCAAATCGTACTAAATTGTATGAATTAGATCGTACCAATTCATACGAATTGGCCACTAAATGAAAAAGTTACAAATTGCCGTGAGATTGTTTTGGAACATCTGTATTGAGCATTGTTTTTCAGATATACAAGAATGTTCACTTAGCATGCTTCTTAAATATCTGCAAACATATTACAGTTTTTTGACTCTTTAGAAGGGTACAAGTCATCTCTTTAGAAGTCAAAAACTTGCATACAGAATCTTTTAGGTCTTTGGATGAA